TGATGATGATGTCGTGGTTCGTGGGGTGTCCTCTGTGTTCGAGCATGCTAAGGACTATCCTCCTCCATCTTTGACGGTCTTTTCCATCGCGGCTACACTGTTCAAGTGAAGATCCGGTGGTAGTAAGTGAAGATAAGGTCGGCCCAGCGGGTGGGAGAACGACCACGTGAACGCTTTCCATCGACTCTTCCTTGTATGACTAGTCTCTCCATCAAAAGAACTTCAGAATGCGTGTCATTACGATCGAAGACAGTCTATGCTGTATTTGGTGTTCCTGGAGAACAGAGTTATTCATTCGAAACGCAGTCCATGGTATTTTCAGAAGTCGTAACAACGAATATCGAAATTCCGTCCGGATCATAAACCCAGATGAAACAGCCGTCAAGTTTATTCGCATGTGGGTTTCAGTCTGTGAATTTCTGTATATCTAAAGCCAAAATGGAAAATATCTTGTTTATCTATATCTATACTAATATATAAAGCTGAAGAGTTCGTTTGTTTGAACGCTCTAATCTCAAGAACTACTGGTTTGAATGGAAAAATTATTTTTGTGTCGTGTAGAGCATTTATCGAAGAAGGCTATAACTACATCGCTATCTGACTAATAGGGGCGAAGAAAACAGCAGGTAATGTGGAAACAACGTGGCAAATTACTCAAAAACGTTTCAAAATACACAAATATATGTAAGATAATGATTTCTCTTTAAATTATCTAAAAAAAAGTTGCGTGACGCTATACATCTATTTTAAGATTAAGTTGCAATAACGACGGGACGCGAGCGACGAAGTGGGTCGTGGGCAAAGTTGATGCTCAAAATAACTATTCTACGCGGACGAAGTCGCTGGCACAGCTAGTATTTTATATGGCTGGCATTTCACATACCATGGTTACAAGTATCATGTAAGTTACAGTCGTTGTCCCCGGCTGGACATCCTCCCCAAAGGCTTCCAGTACGACTGGTCGTTGTACTTGAATTCAGCATTTCCCCCCCTACTATTGTTTATATACTTCCTATATTTAGGGAGGACCGACTACAACAAAGGCGGATATTATCCTGTTTTATTTGATACCACTAATGGCAAAAGACATTTAGGACACTTTGTTTTAACTCTGTAGCCATTTTTCAAACTAAATATGGCGGTACGATGTATAAAAAATTAACGAATTAAAACGTGAATAACGTGCGAGTACCGAAATTATTTTTTGTAACTTTCATTAAATTTATTTATATGTAGCTATGATTATTAAAACTTATATTAACCTGTTTGCATTTTCATACTACAAATTTTAACATCTTCGAGCGTGGTCCCAAGATTGCTACTTCCGAAAATTACTAATGTATGTTAAATATTATCATATGTTAATAACTAATCGAATACAAATGTATTAATAGACCAAAATGGATCGCTTAGAAGCATAATGATCCGAATATTATATAATTTAGATGTAAGTGGTTCAAGGTTCGAGATTGTTTTTTAATTTAGTATTTCTATGTCAAAGGATTAGGCGTGTGGACGATATGTAGTTTCCACTACTGATATTCCAAGGAAAAACATAGTAACTAAGTAGACTTCTTAGGATGTTAAGGAAACACAAAAGGAAATGGTACCTTAGCGTTTTTAACATTAAGTTTATAATTAAACAGTAGTTATAATAATATATATTTAAATAATGTTTGTAAGTATAACACATTCAAAATATAAGTGAATGCAGGAAAAGCCTAAAAACGTTTTAGGATTAATTACTTAATAAACCAGCTGGGCCCACGACTTCGACCGCATGGAAGAGTCATTTTGGACATCAAAGTTTATTTTACAACCTTCTTAGATAGACATATAGTGTCGCAGACTTTATTTTAGATTTAAGGAGGTAACTTCAACCGCTTTTGCAGCTCACGCAAAAGAAGCCCTCAAACTGATGAATAACTATCTTCATTATGTCCACATTTTCCACTGTTTCTTTGCTACTATTGGTCACGGCGAGATATTATAAAGCCATAAACCTGTCTTGATAAATGGTCTATCTACCACAAACATTTCTCTCAACTTGAACTAGTAGTTCCTAAGATCAGCGCATGCAAACAAACAAACACTTCAGCAATGGCGAATTAGTAATAGTGTGCAGTAGTACTTTTGAGAGAAATATTAATTTTGTAAATTTTGTTTGTATGAGATTATAATTTTTTTATTGTTTCAAAACCTTTTACAAAGGTGTAGAATCGACTGTCTGTTCGTAAAACATCTATACTCTCGGATACTGATAACATCTAGTAAGCTTTCAATCGTTCGAAGATATTCTAAAGAATATTTCGTTCCTTAAAAGGTCAAGGAACGTTTTGGGCGAGTTATTTTGTAATAAATGGTAATAGGATTACACAAACTACAAACATCTTGCTCTAACTAACGTGTACTTTTTGCATTGCGCATTTTTTTATGAGCAGACAAGCTTGGGTTCTCCTGATGGAAGACGAAATAACATCACAAGACACGCCAAAATATTTTGGCATTGAACATTTTATCCATACTAATATATAAAGCTGAAGAGTTGGTTTATTTGAACAATCGGTAACTACGGGTTCGTTAATTGAGGAATGATTTTTGTGTTGCTAAGAGTATTTATCGAGGAAGGCTATAGGCTATTACTGTAACAAACACCCATCCAAATTTCCCGACGAAGTCCAAAATACCCGTTGATTATAAGCTATTGCTATCACTAGACTAACAAGACATCATACTATAGTATAGTACTGTCTAAATTTAGGAATATCTTAGTTGTAATTCTAAATGATGTAAATGTAATAATTTAAGATGTAAAATAAACATCAAGTCTATTATGTTTACAGAAAGAAATCGAACTCACGACTTCCAGCGTCAGTGATCTTGGTGGTCTAAAGTTCGGAAAGGAATCATGTATGTTGTGATTCAAATACGGTCTATAGTTTACACGAGTAGTACACATTTAAATAAAACACTTTAACGGTTTTAAACATGATATATTTTAGTTAAATTTATTTGAAAATTATTATAACTACTACGACCCGACAACACGGAACAGATGGCGCTAGCGTAGCAGTTTTTTACTTTGACGTCAGAGACACCCTCCGTCTTTAGTCTCCCCGTGACCATGCTGCTGCAAACCATCCGCTGCTGCAACGTTGGACTGTACTTTTGAATATTTTCCAAATAAGTTAAACTAATACATATCGCGTTTTAAACCGTTGAAGTGATATATTTAAATGATGTGATTTGTTATTAATATGTAAATAACTTAAAGCCTACCAAGAATTTGTATGAATCGAAAAAACTAATGACGGTGTCGCAACATACGAATACCTCATCAAATGTCATAAGGCCTTCGAACATTCAAGTAATAACTAAGATTATTTTAATGATCTTTAAAAACTTCGATCGTTTTGATTGGAAACATATGTCTATTTAGACACGTAAATCATAAATAACTTATGATTTATAGTGACCCCCCTCCAAGTAGTAACTAACATTGAATACTTGGTTTCTACTTTTAAAGAGCAGTTAGTAAATATAACATCTAAACAAGATGCACTATCAACCAATTTTAGCTAGAGTAAAAAACATGTTGACTTTAGTATCTTTTACTTGCAACTAAGAACGGACGCAGGCGACGTCGTGGGTTACGACGTTATAATTTATAAAGGCAAAAATAAACTTTGATGCCCAAAAACTATTCTACACACAAAGTCGCTGGCATAACTAGTATATCATGTGCGTCCTTTCTCTTGATTGCTTGAAGGTGCAAGCGATCAGTGATCAATTTTTGATTTTCCAGAATTCAAACTCAAGAATTCCAACCTTACGTGCTATGTATAAAAACATTTGCTCTTGTTGTAAATAAATATTATTATTGGTTCCTATTAATAAGAATGATGACAACTTTATAATGAGAAAACCGACCCGAAATCGAACCCCTCTTCATAATCGAGAGGTGAAGCTGCAATAAGCTCTATTAATAGTATACATTTTTTTTAATGTTTACTATAATTCTACTGTTTTTATTAATGTAAGTAGAGTTATTAAGTCAAGAATAGTGATATATAGTTAGTTATTAAAATTGTGTTGCTTATAGTTTGCGTGAATAGTTTACATTTTAATAAATCAGTTTAAATAGTTCAAAACGCAAAACGCACAATGACCCAAATTTTTACATACCTCGTGACGACTGCTTAAACGTTATTATACTGGTGTTTTATTTATAAAAAAATGTTCAAAAATAATAAGCCTGAATAAACTAAAACACTTTTAATTTTGATAATTTTACGGTATATCACAACTATTAGCAGTGTTACGTGATACTTAAACAGATTAGTTTAGGAGCTAATGACAAAAATCTCTCTATAGTCAATGACTATAAATTAATAAATACGAGAAATTTGGATAGCTAAACCATTATTACAATGAGGGTAATTACGTGATTTCAGCATTTATATAAACAATAAATGCATTTCTATAGACTTCTTTTCATACATTCCTGTTCATTGACATCGTTATTGCAAATAACTTTTTTTATTAGAACAATTTTTTTGTGAGACTAACCTTTAAAAAATAAATTTAGGTATCGTTTGCTTAATACTATACATTTATATAAAACGTCTTTACTAAACGGTTTAATACGAAAAATATGTCCGTCAACTTATTTTTAGTATAATTTTACTGTGACATATGATCCTCCTTTGACCATGGCGGTTTCAAAAAGTTAAAATAAAAAAAATATTAAATTTAAAATTTTATGTTTCAAACCTTAATGTGTTCATTATTTATTTCTTAAAAAATCTATTATTAAACTGTAAATATAATGCTCTGGTATATAACAAAAAATGATCGTCAGCTCTTAGACTTAAGGATTCACTCTCAATGAACGATAAGGCTATATATGATAGAGGGGAGATGTTTTACGGCAAAACGATTTGCGTCGCGTTCCGTTTAAGACGCGTGTGTTGTGAGATGCAGTGAGTGGATATACAATCATGGTGAGCTATATATGCTTTATAGCTTAGTTATATTACCGCATCCTTATATAAGAGCATAATAAAAATACTGACATATAAAAATAATAAGTTATGCAGATACAGAATAAGATCTCGAAATTAAATTGGCCACCAAGTCATGTAATAGACGCGTAGATATAATGGTAGCAGTACATGCCTTATAATCATGGGTCGTGGGTTCGATTCCTGCCGGGTCCGACATGTTACTAATTAGTCTATACTTTTTCTGAAACAAGCACGAAATAACATCCATAGATGAAGAAACCGTAAAGTTTTCGATTTCGATTCTGTAAATTTTCGAAAATACAAAGCATTATAGGCCGACAACACATTTAATTTAGATGTAATATAGTTGGCGTATTTCACCTTCATTAAGTAAACGCCATGCTTTTGTCGTCTTCTTAAAAAAAAACGAACAAACTTTTTTCGCTTTTCTTATTTCTTTTCTCGGCTTTAAGATGTTCTCTGGCCGATACTGACATTTCATAACTGCAATTACACCACAGAAGATATTGTCATGTCAACATAATAACATTATAATCGTGTATTACCAATTTTATAATTTACTTCGCAAGATTTATGAAGAAAACGCTAAGGTCTCTAGACGGGTCATTGAGTTGAAACATTCCCTCGAGTTAGGAAATATCTTGAAGAATTTTTTGATTCAGTATAAGACAATATAACATATAGCAGATCTGCTAGACTTTTGACGGGTTGGTTGGTGTAGCAATGTATGGCTTAATAAACAAAGGGTCGCGGCTTCGATCCCCAGAGGGTCCAACATTTTCTCAATTTAAAAATTTCCTAAAACACATTGGTCTTCGTCTAGAAATCTAGATATTTAGAATAGAAATCCCGCCCGAAATTACAAATATTTAAAGAAAAAATAGGTCAAAAGTGCTTCTTGGTGTTTCTTTATTTATTAAATTAAAAACTTACTGACATATTTGGTATATCTTAACTTTAAATGTTGTTATATGTTATATTTTACTTCTATCAAATGACCCCATGCTCGTCTATCCTTCTCTATCATAAGAAATATACTGGCGAGTTAACCATTAGCCGTGCTCGACTGAAACAATGTTTTTTCGATATTCCAACATCAATTCTCAATTCACTTAACGAACAAAGATAGCCTATAATTAGTACGCTGAACTTCTTTTCGATCGAACTTCGAATCGATCATAAAATATCATTTTATGATCGATTAACGTCGAAATCGAAGATTAAATATTCAAATTAAAACATTAATCTTAATTAAATAAGTTCATTTCTCAAAAAAATTCAATCCTAGAGCGAAAATGTACTGTAATTATAAGTATGTAAAAATTACTTAATATTTTTTTAATCAAGATATAAATAAGTTTAAATTTTTACATTTTTTGATTTGTATTGGGAATAACTGTTATTTTATATATTATTATGTAATATTTTTTTTGTGTTATTTGCCTTTAGATTTTCATTTAAAACACTTTTAACGGTTTAAAACGGGAAATATACCCAAAACCTACGGTACTTAAATAGTTTATTCATTTACTAAGATATTTATCGTTATAAATGTTTATTATGTGTACAGGTAATATTTAAATGATGTACACTCGTATACAGGTAATACTTAGTTACTGATCAACTTCCCATAAATTTGAATAATTTAAACTTAACTTCAACCGGTAAAGCTCGAATAAATCAAAACCCTATTGGAAATATTGTAATTTCACGTAAGTAAAATATAATATAAATTGACGGACTTAAATTATTCGAGTACTGATGCAATACGGAGGTCACCGCGTTGAAATCCATCACTTGCTTTTACATAATATTTCTTGATACATTGACCGTTTTGATTACAATGTAGTTGTCTATACAGCCTTCAACTTTGCATTTGTGTAGAGTGAACAGAACACTAAATATATTTATTTAAAAATTTTAACTGCTATCACACATATTTCTAACTACTTTTAATTCTAATGTCAATCATATAAAACCCGTATAACGATTTAAAATGTAAAGTATATTTCATGTAAAGTAAAAACCTATATTAAATTGAAAAATTCTGATCAAAAATGAGCGAAACTAGATAGTTAAGTTGCTCAGACCTGTTACCGTCTGTGACTTTTCCAATCTAGAATAGATTTCTGATTTATATAATAATGTGCAATAAATATAATATTTGTTGCATTCTTTTGAAAAATGATATCCTGTCTCCCCCAATTAAGCATGCGGCGAACATATTTATGTGTCCGTTTTACTGACCGGTTCTACTTACAGCCCTACCTGACTGGACAATGTATTGTTTATCTTAGCCTTCGAACCCAGGACATCTCGCAATTAATACGATGCTAGGCAACACTTTCAACCATTTATCTAAGGATAGGTTTATAAATAAGGTACGTTGTTACAAGTAACCTAAATATATTTGCGTTTGAAACGGTTAAAGACTCGCAATCTAAAAATGGTAGAGTTAATATAACTTTTTTAATTAAAGAGTTTGTTTGTTTGAACGCGCTAATCTCATGAACTACGAGTTCGAATTGAAAAATTATTTTTGTGTTGGTTAGAGCATTTATCGAGAAAGGCTATAAGGCTACAAAAAATCTCCGTGTGACTAATACAAGTGAAGGTACAGCGGGAAATGTGAAATAAATAGGAAAGTTATTGATCTTTGTGGGTTTGCGAAACGCGAAAACGGTTCAAGATACCCAAAAAATATATGAATAAGAGAATAATTCCTCTTTAAAAGATCTTAAAGAAAGTCCGCGACGCTATATCTGTATCTTTTAAGATTAAATTCAAAAAAAAAAGGGGGGGGGGGGGCCGACATCGTGGGTAACAGTTTAAGTTTCTAAAGATGAAGGGGTTTGCACAAGACTAATTCGGATGCCCAAAATAGCGATTCTTGCGGAAGAAGTCGTTGACACAGCTAGTATAATATAATAGTTTAAACTATTCACTTATCTTCCAAGTGGTATTTGAAATATTTAAATTCCACATAAATCAACGGGTGCACATTACAGTCACCTACGCTGCGCCAGCGTCGGATCTCGTATTATGTCATTCGAATAACTATATTATTTATAACGCAACACTTATAGTTCAGTAATTTACAAGTGGGTCGAACAGGATCCGCGCAGACATCTCGCTGTGAAGGTCGCGGGTTCATAATACTTGAATGACATTTTCGCCAACATAAATTTGTTGAAGAATATATTTTTTGTGTTATAACGATATTACGGTTACGTTTTTGGTGTAATAAGCAATGTACGACTAACAATCATCGATTCGTGAGTTCAGTTCCCACAGTGATCCCTGTTATTAGCACACTTCAACAAACAAACTAACAATCTCTTCAGATTTATAATAATCGTATTAGTTTAGTTAGGATCAAATCTTTGAAAACTCTGTAATTATCTATAAATTGTCGACGACGTCATACGATTAAAGTTATACTTTTAATAATATTCAAGCTTAGAACACTTCTAACTACTTCTTGTTAGAAGTATTATATAAGAATCTTAGCATTTGTGAATAATGTTGTTAATTTAATTAATACAAACGGTTTCAAACGCGATATATATTAATTTAACTTGTTTAAAAATTATTTAAACACAGTGGTCACGGGGAGATTGTATCCACGTGACCACGGCACCTGCAAACTGCGACTGTAGTTTTAAAAAAACTTGAGTGTATCGCGTTTTAAAACGGAAGTAAAGTGTTTTATTTAAATGTGTACTACTCGTGTAAATTACAGACAGTATTTAATTGTTATTTAAAAGTCCTGCTCGAGTCGAAAATGTTTTCAATTTATTTTCGATTTTTAAATTATATAGCGCCTTCATGTGCAAATTATTAAAGTTTTCAAAGTATTTAATGTTATTAATTACAAAATCCTAGAGACCGTAACTGATTAATATGTTATACAACTAAGAAATAGAATCTGCTTTAACATAAAGCTCAATTTGTCCGACGGCAGTGATGACATAGGTCACTGTCTTGATGCAATTTTGAATAGATCGCTGTTTGAATCCTTATATAGGTGTCTTGAGACCGTCACATATATGTAATACAATTATAGTATATAACGCTAGCAAAGTCAGCGAGTTCGTACGCGTAGAATAGTTATTTTGGGTATCAATTTTTGTTTTTGCTAATCTTCTTGCAAGCTAATCTTACAAGATAGACATATACTATCCCAGGCCTTTTTTTTAGATCATTTAAAGAGGAATCTTACTTTTATACATATTTTTTTGGGTATCTTGAACCGTCACCACAAGGATAAATAGTTTACCCGTTTTTTTCGATATTTCCCGCTTTATTTTTGCTCTTATTAGTCACAGCGCGATGTTTTATAGCTGTACCTTTACCTTTCTCGATAAATCTAACCAACATTTAAACATTTTTTTCAATTTAAAGAAGTAGTTCCTGAGATTAGCGCATTCAAACAAACAAACAATGTCTTCAGGTTTATATATAAGTATAAATGATCTCGAGGTCTTAAAAACTTGTTTTTCAGTTCCATTAATTGGATATGAACATCAATTCAATAATTGTTGTTAAAATTGATTGCATTCTGAGTTATTGTACAATAAAGAACTTTATATGACAGGGTGCAGTCGACTTTTACGATAGGGCTTAAAACGAAATCAATTAGATACGCGAAGTTGCAACCGATAAATTAAGTAATCGTCACCGTATATGATTCATAAGATGTCCGTGAGCCGATCCAATAAATTGGACGGCCAAAAGTTGGTCATGCCAAATACAACAGCCGCTTTTTCTGGCGTGAAACATTCGAGGAAAAACAATCGTTAATTATGAGCGTACATCTTTTAAACCCAAAATATATACCCATATAACATAATACTAAAATCCAACCCAACGTGGGGCATAGGGCGAACCCTTTTCTGTGTCCCTCAAAAATACGTTTTTTTTAAAAAAAAAAAAAAAAAAATTTTTTTTTTTTCCCCCCCAAAAATTTTTTTTTT